ATCGAACCACCAACCTTCCGATCAGTAGATGACCTGCTCTACCACCTGAGCTACAGCCACCCCAATACAACACTATTCTTGTTTGTCAATTATTCTACTTTTGGTAGTACATCTAGGACACAGTTATTTATTATGAAATACAGTTACAGACACTTTTCCTGCTTGGTATGAATAAAAACTTACTTTGTGACACGACATCCTTTTGTAACATGAATTTGTCCTATTTAATGTCCAGTGTCTTCTTCTTCAGCTCATTTATGTCTGTGTGTTTGTTTGTTTTACATTTTAGGAAGAAGAGAATACTGATGCCAGGATTGCGGCATTAGGAGCCAACTTGAAGAATATGGTTTATGAGTATGTCTGTCGGTCTCTTTTCAAGGTAAAGCACATATTTATACAGAACTACAAAGCAAACGTTGTTTGGATAATTTATTTGGGTAATTTTGGTGATTTGTATGTTATCAGTGGGTAATATATAAAACAAATGGACATGGTCATGTGGGCTGTGGCATTTAAAGGATGCTCTGTTGGTACTAAGGTGTCCAAAGTATGCCAAGACAATGTATGCCATACCAGCAGCCTAAAGTCAGGATGGATCCACGCTTTCATGTTGTATATGCAGTCAGTTTTGAACTTACCGTTCGAATTAAGACTCATCTGAATGTTGAACATTTTTCCAGTTGTCTTTTGTCCACTTTGGTGAGTGCAAGAAAATCAAAGCCTCAGTTTCCTGTTCTTACCTGAGAGCAGTGGTCCCCAGTGTGGTCTTCTGCTGCTGCAGCCTGTTTGCTTCAAGGTTCAATGTTCTTTGCTTTCAGAGATGCTGTTCTGCATACTTTGGTAGTGTCGTTATTTGAATTACTGTTACATTGTTATCATCTCAAAGAAGTCTGTCTCTCTAATTTCTCAAATCACCAAGGCATTTTTACCCAGAGGACTGATGCTTCCTGGATATTTTTTAGAGCATTTACCCTAAAGCCTAGAGATGATTGTGTGGGAAAATCCCAATAAGTCAGCTGGTTCCAATCAGACTATTTGGCACAAATTCCTATGCCAAATTTATAAAAATAAAAACAAAAAACTCTTTAATCACCTTTCTTCCCCATTCTGATTCTTGGCTAGTGGGTCCTGTTATGAAGACATATATAAGATATTTGCAGACTACAGGAAATATAGTCATGTGTTCCTGATCATTACTTGCCTGTTCATTATTATTCTTTGTTGAAAGTAATGCATTAGCCTTCCCAAGTATAAATTTGTATTTTTAACTTTGCAACTTTTGTGGAAAGTTGACCAGGTTTTGCATTCAGAAACATACTGTCAGATGAATAGAAAGGAGAAAGGAGCACACAGGCTTGTCTATAAAATCTGAAGTTAATGCAATAATGAAGCGTCAAATACTAAACAACACAGCAATCGTTGCATTGATCCTAGAGTGATAAATGCAGTTTTCTTACTCTGTGTGTGTGTGTGTGTGTTCTCAGTTTAGTAATAGAGATTTCAAGCAGAGTCAGGTTGACTGTTCTCTGCTGATCACATCTATACATTATCTTCTTACCTGCTACACACAAACATGTACATATATCGTTAGCAGCTTAGTTATTAGCAAAGGGGAAACACTGGTCTACTTTATCTGTCCTTCTGTCAACATGTGTGCTGAAAAAGAGATAACTCTGAGGGGAAGAGGGGAGGGGTGGGGGGATGTTGATAATGAGCAGGACAGAAAGAGGATAAACAAAATATGTGAGAAATCATCATCATGAATATCACATTTTAACAGGCCCATATTTTCCTGTGTTAAATTCCATGAAAACCGAATGGTTTCAGGAAATACTTACCGCTGTTGTTTTAAATCTTGGAGAATATGCCATTTGACCTCCTTTAGCTATTTAATATTTTCATGGTTGTTTTTACAAAATATGCTGAAAGAAGATGGATGGATGGATAGATAGCTAACAGGTGGTCATCAAATATTAAATATATATTGTGTGATGACTTGCTTAGTTTTTTTACTTACTGATATTTAGTAAAATAGTAACATTCCAATTTTTGGTCCCCACAAAGATATGTAAACATGGTACACAGATGCGCGCACACACACACACACACACACACACACACAGAGGAAGCAATTTGCTCATCATCACTTTGTAGCTGATGGTTAATAGCTAGCAGATATACCAGGCTCTGGTTACCTAGGTAACATTCTAATTTATTTACCACCTTTCAAATATCAACTAAGATTATCCTTCATGCTGCTCTCTTACTGGTAGTCGCTTCAATCTCTCACCTCAAAGTTAAGAAAAGTTTACTTTGTGTTGCTCAGTGCTGTCCATAGGTCACAATGCATTTCTACTGTCTCTGGTTGCCACTGCCAGCCAGTTCCTGTGTGGATGCCCCTTTGGAAGTGACAAATGAATAAATAACAATAAAAATAACTGCATTTGGACTGACGAAACAAAGCGCTGCATACTATCATTTCTTCACAATAACTTCACTATAACTGTTGCCAGTAGTGCTTAGTTAAAAATGCACCCAAATTAATTTATAAATAGATTCTTGAGCCCTGTGTGCACCTCCTCTTTTGCTACCATGCATTAGATAATCATCCAATAAAGACACCCAAATGATGAATAGATGTTCTCTGACAGACTACAATCTCTGCATCTGATAGCAGTGACATCAGCTTGTATGAATAGCCCGGCTGACTTGATTAACACATTTAACCTCTTTTTGCCCACTTTATAGAGCATTGAGACTTATTACGGACAAGCATGCTAATTCTAATGTGGTTGCCCTTGCCAGCTGTTAAGTGCATGAAATTAGATTAACATAAATATGCGTGGCGGTCACAGAAGCAATGTGGGTGTATTCCACTGTGAATGTTATTAGGTGCATTGTGTGTTTGTTTATTGAGTACTGTGCTACTGTTACATGCAAATGATGAGAATTCAGTAGAATCAATAGATTTATATAATGCCAGTTATGGGCCATTTATACCACCACAGACGTAAGATGTGAGCTATATTAGAAAGTCGTGACTCATTGAAGTCTTACATCAAGCATGTTCAAAATGAAAGAACTTCTTGAGAGTTACTGCTGCAACTAAGTTACTATAATTACTTTGTTTCAAAGTGGTTTATTTTTTTATTTTACATGTATTTGTACTATTTGCCTTTACGTACGTACATAATATATTTCAGTGTTATTTTTTCACTTTTATCATAGGGAGTTTTAAACTTGTTAAAAAATTAAAAGAAGGTGATTGTGCATCCTTCATCTAGTGTGTACAGTGGCATGAAAAAGCATTCGCCCCCTTCCTGATTTCATATTTAAAATTTAAATATTAGACAAAAATAACACAAGGGGGAACTTGAAACTTGAAACCTGAAAAATAACCATTTGTACTTTGAAGGCTCATTGCGTCGGTTTTGAAGCATTTGGCTGAATCTGAGCAGAAAGTATAGCCCTGTACATGTCAGAACTCAACTTTTATCACTAGTGATAAATAAGCCCTTTGTCCCACTCTTTCTCTCTCTCTCTTTCTCTCCTTTTCTATCACTTCCTTTCATTACATCTGTGGCAGGCTGACCAGTTGATGTTTGCTATACACTTTGTGAAAGGCATGTACCCCGAACTCTTCCTCGAGAACGTGAGTCATTTTGTTTGTTCATTTTTAGGATTTTATTACCTATTCCAATGACAATCGATCGCTATGCTTGTGTTAATGTGAACTCTTCTGCTTGTTGTAGGAATGGGATGTCTTTACTGGGTCCATCGTAGGAGAAATGTTTAAGAAAGAGGTAAGAATTCAACTTTTTCTTGTAACAACAAGAAGACACCATACTTTGTCTTTTCTGTCTCTCTAACATCTCCCCTGTCTTGGTAGGAGTTCCCTTCTTGGATTGATAAGGAGAGGCACGGAGCAGTGGCCATTTTAAAAGTAAATACACTGATATAGAAAATAACAAACAAAGCATACATGCTCAGCTCGGATAGAAATGGATTTTCTTTTAAAAGTTCCACGTTAACATCATCTACCATCTGCCGCAATATGCAGCACAGGCATAACAGTAGAATACTGTCTCCTGACATGAAAAATGCATTTTTAAAGGTGTTTAAATAGATTGCCAGTGAACCAGTCCTTACCAAGCTAAAGATTGGATCTATTCATCTTACATCTCTCACCCTTTTAACTTTTGCCCCCTCTCTTTTGCAGGCTACGTTCCCGGCTCTCTACCAGACCCTCTGTTTAAGCGACTCAGACCTTTGGCTGTCCTTCTTGCAGAGCTCACACTGTGAACAAGAAATCCCATCTTCCATTGCCAAGAAGATTACTCCCTTCCAACAGGTCAGCTTTCAATCAACTTCTTTAGCTGTGAGCCATAGAAACATTGAACACCCGCATTTGTTGGTTCAAGATGAACCTTTCAGCATAGGTCACTCCTGTTTCTGCTTAGAAACTGATTGCTGTTACAATAACAGGCAGCCTGCTATTTTAAACATTTTTATTTACCCTCCAGATATAAATTTTATCTAATTCTTCTTATTTTGATAGTTATTATCATAATTACTTAAAAGGATAATATGTACAAATACATAATATTACGGTACAGAAGTTATGTATATGTATATTAACTTGGCTATAGATGTAATTGTTCGTGTAATCGATTTTTGCTTAACACATATTATACATACAGTACATTTAAGATCTAGGTTACATAAACCTAGGACCCCAGAAAAATGTGTATTCGGTTGGCAGGTTTTTACTGAAGGTTGCTGACTGTCAACAAATGTCACAAAGTGATTGCTACACCAAAAGCTGCCTTCTGATTGCTTTGGTCACTAGCAGATTGCCGAGCTCTCCCATAGTTTGCATGAAAAATGCTGATTGTCTGTAAACACTTGCCAAATGCCAGTTGATCACCAGAAAACTAAAAAAGGCCAGTGGGAACTTCAAAGTAAAAGGTGTGATTCACTGCTAAAACCAACATGTTTTAACAGATGCAGCTATTACTGTGGAGGCAAATAGTTTCCATTTCAAGCTTGTGACACACTTTTCACAATTTAACTGTTACTTGAATATAGTTGCTGAGCACTTGCAGAAGTTGCGATCTTGCACGCAAACTACAGGCAACTTCCAGCACCAATCACAGGGAGATGTTCAGTGCAGCACCTTTATACCTTTTTATGACCAATTTCCCTTTGCAACTACCCAAAACCTCAGACAACCGCTCACCAACCAGTTGGGGACTACAAATTACTCCTTGCAACCAGTGGCTGCCAGCAGGTTGCCAACCCTCTCTGGGCCTGTGTGACTGTAGCCAAAGTGATTGGGCAGCTTCAGATGAGGACCTCGCCCTCTAATTTCTTTTAGTATAATAAAAAAATTCTTTAATCTTTCTTTTTTTAATCCATGGTCAAATAGAAAGGAAAACCATTCCACACCTGGTTCCAGACTGAATAAAAAATTACCCATTCTCAAGACAAAGAAAGACACTGGAAGCCACTCTGTAAAGTCAAATACATGCATTACATGCAAGTGACGTACTCGTTTGCATATATATTTCATTCTAAAATATATTAAAAAGAAGATCTCAAATCCTCACCCTGTGAGTCAGACTGTGGATCTATGAATAATTTAGGGATTACTTCTTAATACCTGACTCTTTGGAATATGTCGCATACTGCTTTGACATAAGGTTTTTGTTTTATGGGTTTTGGGGATTTTTTGTTTTTTTTCCAGCTGTTATTGGTTCAGGCTGTCAGACCAGACCGGCTGCAGAGTGCCATGACTTGTTTTGCCTCTCAAACCCTGGGTAAGTGTTTCATATTACTACCGTGTGTTCTTTTCATATTTGCTGTGCACCTGAATATACATAAAAAATAGATTCCCAGTTAAAAACAACAAATTCACAGTGTCTTTCATCTTTAGTGATGCTTACAAGATTTCTTTTTTGCCCTAATTAGTCAGACCAAGATCATTAAAATAAATACACCAACACTCTTTATTGTCTTCTTATGCAAAATATAATGCAGATGTTGAAAGTAAACAAACCAAAATGTGACTGAAATGATAAACTGAAGCAAATTGAAATTTATTGCGATTGCTGTGAATAATGAGATATAAACATATGAAGATGTCCTCTTTTATTCCTTTCAGTAAAGTATTTTTCTGCTTTCACTCCACTATATAGAAAGGTGCTTTGTTTTTCAAGTGCACCTTCTGCTTTCACACTCTACTCAAGCAAAATATTCTCAGACAAGGCTTTTATTCAGGACTTCTAAGCCGTATTTTCCCACTTGTCATCAATGGTGTGATTTTTATATTTTTTCACAATAGTCCTTCGCATCTTCTCTTTATTTGTCTTTCATCATTGCAAGAATGTCACTGTCCTTAAGTAAATGCCACACACACGCACACATGCACACAAATCTCTGTCTGTGCTCTTTTTTCATCTCTCTCTCTCCTACTGACACAGACGCATCCAAAATAACTTTAGCTCTTGTTTTGCGCCATGTTTTCTAACACGAGGATAACCAATACCTTAGTTTCAGACCAAAGAGTCAGCCAAAACAACCAAAACTATACTTGAATTCTCTGTTTGACCTGTGAAACCACGCAGTGAAAATGTTGCACTTAAGCAGTGTGATCTCTGGGTACAGCTTTGCTCACTCTTTGAGGAATTTACTAGATTGTTGAATTTAAGGTCAGAGTTATGCACTGTCCTTGCGCTCATCTGTCAAAGTTTCCATCGATGACCCCCATGTCAAGTCTCAAGCACTCGTCCCTGTAGTTTGCTTTCTTAATCACATATCTATCATAACAGAATGGCTGCCTGGTTGTGCAAATATTTCCAAGTCACCTTTGCACCGATTCATTAAACCAACAAGGAATGGATGTGGACCCCTGAGGGTTTTCCATTTTCTGGCATTGTTGTTAGTTGCAGATAAAAATTTTACACTGACAATAAAATCATTTGAATTCATTTCATTTTGTTGTCAGTTCCATATGATCAGAATGCAGTGAATGTTAAACATTTCCAAAATAATTTCCTAACTGAAATGTATACTCATTTGCCACTTTGTTAGGTACACGTATTAAGCTGCTCATTAACACAAATATCTAATCAGTCAATCATATGGCAGCAATTTGCATTTAGGCAAATTGCTGTATGATCACGACGACCTGCTGAAGTTTAAACTGGTCATCAAAATTGTGAGATCCAGGCCTTGAAGGTAGAGGTCAGACCTGAATGCCAAGACTGCTACAAGCTAAAGGAAACCAACAGTAATTCAGATGACCACTTGCTGCAACCAGGTTATGCAGTAGAACATCACTGAATGCATAACACATCAGTCCTTGATGCAGACGGACTAGAATAACAGAAGATCACACTGCGTACCACTCCTGTCAGCTAAGAACAGCAAACTGAGGCTGCAATTTGCACAGGATCCCTTAAATTGGACAGCAGAAGATTGGAAAACCCTGCTGGTCTGAGCAGATTCAATTTCTGCTGCGTTATTCGGATGGTAGGACCAGTAATGAACATGAAAGCATGGATGCATCCTTCCTTGAATCGGCATGCTGGTGGTGTAATGGTGTGGGAAATATTTTCTTGGCAAACTTTGGGCCTCTTACTAATTGACTAATTGAGTATTGTTGCTGACCACAGCCATCCCTTTATGACCACATTGTTCCCATCTTCTGATGGTTTCTTTCAACAGCTCAAATAATCTCAAACTGCTTTCTTTGAAATGTAGTGGAACGGCAGATTCCCATCATGGATGAGCAGCTGGCAAATCTGCAGCAACTATGTGACCAAATTCTCAAAAGAATGTTGTTAAATCTTTGCCATTAATAATTAAAGCAGTTCTGAAGGCAGTACTTGCAACGTGTACCTAATAAACAGTCCGGTGAGTGTATGTATTTTCCATCTCTCTGTCTTAGTGGTGTTATTTTCTGTTGTGGACTGAGCTTATTTCTCAAACACAAGTATCACATCTTTGTATCTATTTTTATACATAGGTAGACTTTAAAAAAAACACTATACAGAGATCCTCTGCACAATCCTTACACGCGCAGTAACCCACTGATAACAGTGTACTGCGTGTACAATGGATGAGGTGGATAATAGTGCATGTATATTTGAAAGAGCTTGAGCGACAGACAGATGAAAAAGAAACAGAAGAGAAGAAGATTTTGTGTCTATGTGTATGTGTTTTTGGCAGTAAATCAGTATGCTAATGAGGCATGGTCTGTAATCCTCTTACAGCTAATCTCACTCAATCCCTCCAGTCCAGGCCTGGGCACTGCTCTCACACACCCAGGCATGCCTGAGTGAATACAACAGACACACACACATAGAGACTCGGTGCTTGCTCATACAACTTCTCAAAACACACAAAACCTCTTTCACAAAAATAGTGACTTTGACAGAAAGATAATGAAATTTTTATAGAAAGACTTGAATGCTCATAATGCCAAGGATTGTATGTGAGCGCTGTTCTTTCACAGTCACTCAGTGTTTCCTCAACAGCACTGTTTGAAACCACAGAGAGACCAGTACTGTCCTTTTCCAGGCTCATCTTAGCACTGTTTTTTGATAGCATGTTGTAAAGGCCAAGGTGAACTTTGCTATTCAGACGGAGGATGCTGGTCTGCTGCATGAATACTGATTACCTGCACACGTCAAAGGTAGTTGTGTATGTAATTGTGCAGGCCCACGTTCTGCCAATTCTCCCTTACTTTGCAGAGAGACATCACAAGCCATGTGGTCGGAGAACTGTTTTTCTTAGTGTTGCCATAGCAATGTGGCAAAAGGTCACTCGGCGATGTTCTCCACTAAGACCTTGTGTATGTGCATGCATGTGTACTTCAGTGCACCAGATTGCATTTGGCAGCAGACACCAAAAGAATGTTCAGGATGGGGCAGCTGCGCCAACCAGAGAAGACAGCACTGTGCGTGTGTGTGTCTGTTTGTGTGCGCACGCTCGTGTCTGAAAGCAATATCTGCTGATACTTGCACAAAAAAAACGTCACAGAGGAATTTCTAACACAGCCACTCGTGCTCTGCGTGCCTGGATCGTTGCATGTGTGTCATTATTAATCCATATCTGATATGGGATTCAATATATTACAGCGGGATTAGAGCTTAAGTATTCTCAATAAGGGGTTGCACACCACACACACACACACACTGATATAGTAAGAGCTTGGCTTCTCAACACCAGGGGGCTGACAAGATGTTCTTCTCTGTGTGGTGAATTCTGCTGCATACCTAGTACTCAATATGCATAGCACATCACCCTCCTAAACTTTCTCTCTCTGTCTTTCATAGTGTCTTCCTCTTATTCCCCATCTCCCTTTCTCCATTACCTCCTTCTTTCCACTTTCCCTCATCCTTCCCTTTTTTCCTCTTTACCCCAGACTTCTCTTCACATCACCACCGCTTTAGGTGCTGTCTTCCCCTCCTTGTCTCTGTCTCCCTGTCTATCTCCTCTATGTCTCCTTCTAACCCATCTGCCCTCACAAAATACCGCTTTGCTGCTATGTACTAGCATTTCCCTCTATTTCTTCTTTCCTGCTGTGTTCAGCCCTTGCTCTATGCATTGCTACTATCCTCCCTGCACAATATATCCACTTACTCTGACTCTGAGTACCGTATCAAATTTGAACGTAATGTTGACACACATTTTACAGATCCTTTTTCTGACTCTTTTTGTCATCTTCCTACTCCCTTTTTCCTCCTCTGTGCAGCTATGAAAGAGCTCTCACCCCCTCCTCTGAATCTGCGGCGTCTCTACACCGAGACAATGGAATGGGAGCCAGTGTTGATCATCATCTCTCCAGGGGCAGACCCTTCCCAGGAGCTCGCAGAACTAGCAGCCGAAACTGTTGGCAGGGACAATTATCATGAGGTAGCGAATAACAGCATAAAATAGTAGAAGTCGCAGCAGATTAACAAGTGCAGGTGGATTTTTTTCTTAACATAACAGCAAGATCACAACTATAGAATCTAGCCCATTCAATTTAGTCTAGCCTAGAATCTAGTAATATACTACACACCTTAAAGGGGAAAACAGAAGGTGCTACAAAATGTCCTGTTGCTAAATAGTTGTTGACATATGTTTATTTGGCATATAAGTCTGAGAAAAGATGCTCTTACACAGCTGAAGGAATACAATGTGGTTATTATCACAATTTAAAAGCTGAAACTCAGTGATAATCTCACTTGAATCAGATATGTGCCTAACTTGTGAGTTATTACAGTGTAGTAATCAAGTTTCATACCAATTTCTCTGTTTCTCTCTCACCCCTCCATCTCTCCCCCCACTTCTCCTGCTCTCCCCCTCTGTGTAGATCTCCATGGGTCAGGGGCAGGCTGATGTAGCCTTAGCTACACTCAGAGAATGCTCCCGAAATGGAGACTGGCTTTGCCTGAAAAACCTTCACCTTGTCACCGCATGGCTTCCCCTCCTGGAAAAAGTGAGTACTCTGTCTCAGTGAGTTTTTGTCTGTGTTAGTGCCAGAGGATCAGTCGTTAGCTTTTATCTGTGTTCGTGTGTCTGAGTGAGGTTTTTTTTTGTATTTTGAACAATTTTTTGGGTTAATAATGGTTGAACAATAGAACCTGAAAAGGGGTCGGTTAGTTAGTCTGAATAGATTATTTATTCATGGATATGAACTTGTGTCAGTCAACAGCTGGACTTTATTAACTAGCTCTGCATTAATGTAAAATGATATTACATTACATCAACGTGTGTGTGTGTGTGTGTGGGGGGGGGGCGTTCACTTCAGCTTGTAAGTGTTTATCTGTAATGTTACAAAACTGCTACATACAAAAACAAAGCCAAGAACACATTCTGCTGGTTGCCCAAATTTCCATATCTAAAATTACCTTCTGTCCTTTGTCTACACATACACATTTTGTATCCTGCCTGCCCACAATAGACTCTTTGGTGTTGTTTATGCCGCTGTGTTTCTACATTTGTCTCTCTGGACATTTACGTGTGTGTGTGTCTATGTGTGTTTGGATCTTGCATTAAGTATGTGTGGATTATCATGTTGTGACGTCTTGTATATTTTAATTTCAGGGAAGATGGGCTTTTATGTTACAATAAATAGGATTCTTTTGTGTCTTGCAAATTTTTGGTTGTTTCTTTATTTTATTTTTTCCCGGGGTTCAGTTTCATTTTTTTGTTGCTGTAGTAGGCCGCATCTGTCAGATGCCAAAAAAAAGGCAATAATGGGAAGCAAAACCCAAAGCAGACAGTTTCAAAGTTTAGCTGGTTTATTGACTCAAGGAGAGAAGATGTCATTGCGGAGAGATCCAAAAGACTGAGCAGGTTAGTCACTGGGAGAGGAGTAATTTCTAAGTCTGGGAATGATTAGTTTTAGTTATAGGAGGTTGGGCAGGCAGGCAGGTGAGTTGAGACATGGACTTCTTCAGTGAAGTTGAACAGACCCGCTCGATGGAAACAGGCAAGTTGCACTGAGCGGGGAGCCACTCTTTGGCCACGCGGGAAGTAGTGAAAAGCAGGAAAACAAGAATATTACACTAGAAAATCTGCGTGAATGCAGGAGAGCCATAAAAAAGCCTGATTACCACTCTGAAGAGCCAGACAACCTGGTGGACTCTGAGTGCTGGAGCCTGTCCTTAAGTAGTGCTTGTTGATGACAGTGTCGAGCAACAGGTGACCAAACCGAAGAGTGGGAATCCGAGTCTCCTCCTGCCTAACCCAACGGGGACAGTGCAGGATGATAACGGTACCATATTGAGAGGAACCACTTTATGCTGTGATTACCCCCCTTGTCTGTGTTTGTTTGTGCATAGCTCTCACCTGTATATGTGTGCCTGTGTGCGTGCCTTGGAGATAGCCAAGAGATCCCACGTGTCAGCTCTGCGACCCCCTCCTGAGTGTGACTTAAACCATGGCTTATTACAGCTCTCCTCTACTTCTTCTCCTCTTCCTCTTTTCTGTATTTGTTTCCAACTCTATACCCCAGCCATCTTCTCACCAGATTTTCACACCCCTTCCTAAATTTTACAAGTATAACTCTTTCTTTCCGTCTCTCCCTTTCTCTCGCTGTTTCATTGTTTCCCTCTTTGCGCAGCTACCGATGTAGTTGGGGCCTCAGCACTCAAGCTTGAAATGAAAAGCTGACGCAACGTGAGGAACGAGGGAGGCAAGGAGCGTAGGAAAGAATGGAGAAACTTAGGATGAAAATAGAAAAAAACAGGGAAAATGAACTGAACCGCAACATTCTAACAAGAGAGGGGGTGTGTTTTAGTATACGCTTCAGTTTCTGTAGCTTCGTCCTTTTGCTTACCGTTTCTCCCGCTCTATGTTTTCCAGCTTCTTTTTTTTGCCCATCTGTCTCTCTGGTGTTTCCTTTCTTCACTGAAGCAGTTGGCCATTTAAAGAGATGGAAATAGAGGTGGAGAGACTGCAGAGAAGAGTGGTCAGTGTTCATAATCTGAGTTGGCAGGACAGATGTCCTCTCATTGCTGTCTACTCATATTCTTCCACTTGTGCTATTTTCTGTCTCATTTTTTACATCACTCACTCCATCTGTCTACTTATGGATCCTTCCCTCACTCTTGCAATCAATTTGCTTCTGTCTGTATTATTCTAGTATGAGGAAACAATGGCTAAATTTGATCCACACTTTTTATGATAAATCAGATACTGCCAGTGATGTGTTTCAGAATATCTGCTGTGATGTAATTAGTAACTGATCGAAATATGATATCTGTGTCTTTACAAGGATAATTCTTATCACTGGTGTGCTGATTCAGAGCCTATTTAGTTTATCTATTTGTGCATGGGTGGTTTGGCTTTCACACTCTGGACAGTGTGGATATATTCCAACAAAGAGAGATTTTGATTTGTGAATACTAAAATAGATTTATGCTCTCTCTGGCGTCTTCCTGCTCCTGCTTTCTATCTACACATCTACACATTTTCTTTTCCTCGTTTTCTTCTTGGTCGTACACCATCCTGCGACGCTATAATTTGTTCCAGTGGAATTCTGATTGACGACGCTTCAGACAGACATACGCGTAGACACACTTACGCAATACACACCCACATACAATGGGAGACATCAAGTATTTCTGCAAGGGACATCAGTTCTTGTGGTCTTTGATTTTTTTGGGGATCATGTGAGCTGCCATGAGGATGACTTGAGCTCTAAATGATGCAGAAACACATTGATTACAGTTTGACTGTGTGTGTGTCTGTCTGTCTGTGCTTGTATGAGATCAGATGACACAAGACCCTCAGGTGCCAGCAGGCTATTTTTAACCATGAGTCTTTGAGAAAAATAGAAAGAGATGGGGAAGGAATGTAAAGCGGAGACGTGAAAGAAAGAAAGCTAGAAATTGAGAGAGTAATGGAGTCAGGAGAAAAAAAGATGCTGAAAGAAGAAAAAGAAAAGTGAATGTGAAGTGAAGTGAATGGGTTTGTCATTGTGGAGAATTTATCACAGTGCAATGATTCTAAAAGAGAAACAATTACATAAAAAGACAGACGGAAAACATGAAAGGATGAAATGTATTTACTCAAAGTATACTGCTCATAAGGCTAGTTTAATTAGTATAATTTCCCTACATGCAGCATCTTGCAAAAGTCTTGAGGCACCTCTCATTTCTTTATAGTTTGCTAGGAAAATAAGTGCAGTGATTTATTAAAATTTGCAAACATACAATATAAAAGGTCAGTATTTGGTATGACCACCTTCATTCTGTAACACAACCTGAACTATTTTAGGCAGGCTTTCTTGTAATTTCTCTAAGTAGTCTTCAGGAATAGTTCTCCAGGCTTCTTGAAGGACATTCAAAGCTCTTCTTTGGATGTTGGCTGCCTGTTGTTCCGCTCTGTCAAGATCATTCCATACTGCTTCAATAATCTTAAATTCTGAACTCTTGGGAGGCCAATCCGTGTGTGATAATGTACCAGTGTGTGTTTTTCTATCCAGCTACGATGCATCTCCAAGCTCCTGTGTCAGATCTTTGCTTATTTTTTTCATATTTCTTGAGGATATAACTTTCAGATCCTATCTGTGTGCTGTAGATGTAGATCTTTTAGGCAAACCATCACTTCTCTGGTCCTCTACTCCTCTCTTTTTATTTATTTATTAATCTTGGCACACCATACCAAACTGTTTAATGACACACGGCACACCAGGCTGGTATATGCCAAGTTTTCAGCTAATAGCTCTTTTGGAATCACAGTGTTTATACAAAAATACAATTTTATGCCTGTCAAACTGTGTTTTAGGCACTTTTCAAATATTCAGCCAAAGAAATTGAAAGTAATGAGTTTTTTCAACAATGTTTTGTGCCTAAAGATACAATTTAACGTTGGTTCTGTGCTAAAATATTTTTTGCATAGACACAACACTGGTGCATTTCTTGAGTTAGGTGCCTTTTTTAGACTCTTGCACTTGTTTCATCATGTCAACCACTGAGTAAGGTTTATAGTTTGAAATATTTAAGATTTGCACACATATGTGGGTTGGGAAGCAGTGGTGCTGGATGCATGTCATAAAACTCAGGTTTCAGCTTTGATTTATTGGTATATATATTAATTTATTTAATGTGCACACTCTTTTTCCTCTATAGGAGCTAAATGTGCTACGGCCCAAAGCAGGCTTCCGTCTTTGGCTGACAGCAGAAGTTCATCCCAGATTTCCCCCCATTCTGCTGCAGTCCAGCCTTAAGATCACTTATGAGGTATACACACACACACGCACACAAATACACATCCAGTACCATAAGTTTGGTGTTTTAACTCACTGCACAAATTAGAGCTGTTCCAACACATTTTTGCAGGCATTCTGTACACATGCTTACATATCCTTATACTTAACTACCACTTTTTATACAGTATCTCAAATCATCCTTGGATGTGGGTGTCTGTAAACAGAATTTATCTATATGTATCTCCCCTACTCCATATAATACGCTAGGAGATACAGAAGCCTGCAGTTTGTGTGTTAGTGACGCTGCTTTAGTGCTCTGTGTGTTTCTGATTTGAGTTGTGCTCATGGGGTTAGCTGCTTCAGCAGCCAAGCATGCTGCATGAACTTCCTGTCTGTTTCCCTATTTTCATCTTTTCTTTTTCTTCACAAACACTTGGAAAAATCTGTTAGTTTACATGTGTTTATACACATTATAACACAGTCTGGCTTACTGCAATACAAAATGTCTCAGGTCCAGGATAAGTGTTAACATTAATATCTGAAGCTATAAACTGATATATGTATGTAATATTTATTTAAATGGGTATGTGCAGAGGAGAACTGGTTGATTTGTGCTACACCTAAACAAATATATCTAATCTACTGATTTGGTAAGTTATCCAGTACATTGATCAACTTTGGCAAATTTTGTGTACGCCTTACTGGCAGTGTGCATTGTGAAACCCCCCAGATGGTGTACAAGATCTTCAGCTAAGCTTTTTATGTTTGAACAAAGTCGATGTATACTGATTGGTTTTAACTCAAATGGGCCATATTGTTGGCAGAGAAATGAAATGTTGGATCATGTGGCAGATGCTTCAGCTAAATTATACCAAAACATTTATATATTCAGTAGTTATGTGCACATGTAGTAGTTCTGTGTATAGTCTAGTCTGTTCTTGCAAGAGTACCAAAGTACTCTGTGTCAAGAAGCTTCTGTCCCAGTCCTTCCTGTGGTTAATTATATGTTCAATACTGTCGAACTAAAGAATTATTTTTATATTTAATTTAGCTCTTCCTTTTTTTATTAAGTCAGTTGATGGGCTACAAATAACTTACCTTACAGTTAATCAGTGCAGAAAGGATTTTCAGCCTTCCTGCTATGATTCTTTTTCAGTGTCTCGCAGTTGTCACACTTTGTCAGATTTTTGCTACGGTCATAAGTATTTTTTGTATAAATGCATTTGTTCAAAATATTTATGTGTTTGGAGCTTAGGATGTTTTTTTTTATGTTTGCAATTTTAGCTTTGAATTTATATGTGAATAATGTGCAGGATTAACACCTTTCACACTTTCACTTTTCCTCCTCCAACATCTTTCTTTCACAATTCCAGGATCCTCCTGGATTAAAGAAGAATTTGCTGAGGACATATGAGTCCTGGACTCCAGAGCAGATCAGTAAAGGTTGTCTCTCATCTCTGGAATTGATACCTCAGAGTAGAATATACATCTCTGAACTCATCATGTGTCAGCCTTTTGAGATAGCTGACAAGTAGAGCTGATGCTTATATTATAAATAATCTGTCTTGTAAGATGACAGTTCACTTTCTTTGATTATAATATAAGTGTTCTTGCACTAGTATAATTACTGTTTGTGATATCACTGCCTATTAGCTTTAGCAGCTTGTCATGTGAACCAGAATCACAGCTTCTGTGTTGTGATGTCGTGACTGATTGTGTGCAGGAGGTATTCTGGCCAGAGCCCAGTCTCTTTTCTGTCTGGGTTGGTTCCATGCCGTCTGTCAAGAGAGACGAAACTACATCCCACAGGTAAAATACTTAAACAAATAACGTAATCATAGTTCTTAGTGCTTAATCATCATGTGAGTGAGTACTCCAACCTTGTCATTGTTACTACGCACACAGCACATTTTCAAATTCCAAATCATTTGAAAATGATTTGTCCCTCTGATGAGAGAGGGTGTCTAACCCATTTAATCAAGGCGTACAAAATGATTAGGCAACTTTAAAGAAGCTCTTCTGTTCAGAACTGAATGAGAACTGAAACATCTAAACAAGCTCGAAAAAGTTGAGTTACCTTCTTTTCTTTCAAGCTTTTAAGGACTACCATTACCTGGATGACTTGAGAACCTACTCAGACACTGGACAATTAAAAATATTTGTTGTGAATAGTCAGCATGGTTCCAAACTATATAAAATATAATTAACCTGATAGATGGGCCTGTAGCCGGATTAATGATTGATAAAGGATGTCACATTAGAGGGGTGGTGAAAGGTTGCTGCTATGAGTTTCTAAAATTTAGGATGACCAAAATTCATTCCCAGACCTATTAGTATCTGGAAAATACCTTTTTCAAATAGTGGTTTAGGATTAAGCCCAGTATTCAAGGAAGCCTTGAAATGATGGTTAATTTAAGACAGACTTCAAACAGCAAGAAATACGAAATATGTTAATATAATTAATACCTATCAAAGCAATAATAAAAAACATGAACAGATCAATTACAAATTATAAAAGAGAAAAAAAGAAATGCAACATAGCAATAAAAATAATCTTTGAATACATTTTTATGTAGAAATGTTTTTCAAGAAGGGATTTAAAGCAAGTCACTGGCTCTGCAAGCTTTATCTCTGCAGGCAGGTGGTTCCAAAGATGAAGGGTCACCTTTAGATTAAATCCTTGATTTTGGGACAGCCAGAAGGTACCCACCTGAGGGTCCAAGGCTCCAAACCAGCTTATATTGAATCATCATCATTGCTGTGTAGTTTTTAGGCACAATAAATCAGTAAAATCTTTAAATCAATTGTAAAACATACAGAGATGCCATCTGTGGGACAAGGATTTTACATTAGATTCCAAAATGCATGTTCAGTGGGTTTGTAGTATTGAAGAGTATACAGTGGGAGAAATAACTACCTGATTCCCTGCTGAATATGTAGGTTTGAACATGAATGAACATTTAAAAATTGTAAACCTGAAATTAATGTGAAATAAAAACCTACAAAAAACAAAAGAAATATACAGAAAAAAAGCATGACAGCTATGTTGGGCAAACACACAAACTGAGTCTCTGTGTGTGTGTGTGGGTGTGTGCATGGCTGTGTGCATGTACCCATGCATGTGTAAATGTTTACATCCAGCCAATATAAGCCTTTGTAGTAACCCAGTCTGCTGGCCAACACACTGAGTTTGGTCAATAAACCCCACACTGGTGAGGCACCTGATGCTTGTCATGCATACTGCTTATAGAGCAATGTGTGCACTATTTCTAATATAAAAGACAGTGAAATATGGAATACTTTTGATGTTGGTGGCCAGTCTAAAGGAAATTAAATTGTCTCAACTGTGTCTTGACTCATGGCACATAGTGGAAGTAGAGCTTTTTTAGTCCCTGCGAGTTCAGAATGTGTAACGTATATAAAAGCATTTAAGCAGTATTGAAGTAGGAACACGTGCTGGATTTGAGTCCTTTGAGGTGCTCTTGGGAATGGATACATACAAGCTTAAAAGTCATCCAGGCTCCCAAAAGAAATCCAGATAAAGGCTGGAAAGCTCAAACTTGAGATTTTTAGGTTAAAAATGACCATGGCATGAAAATAAAGGCATCTGATATGTTATTTAAAAGCAAGTGCTTAGAGGTATTTATCAGTATTTTATTGTTTAATTTCTGTAATCACCATTTCTATAGATAAAATCTGGCTGTTTATTTTCTCAGTTTCGGGCATTGATGTATTGAGGTCATTCCATATCACTTCATCAAATCCCTCCAAATGACGATCTTTGATTTGCCTGAAAACGTCTTAAGGAAAGATACACTTATTAATGATAATTATACAAAATTTCAGAGCCTCAGGCCAAAAATAGGAAAATGAGAGAGAATGCCATGCCAAATTTTGGATGTAATATTAATAGAAACTTGCATTTTGTAAAAACATTCTGGGAATGTCACACTGAAGATGGATGGAAGAATGTTTTATCTCATAATCAAGCTTTAATATCTGTTAAATAATTTACCTGATGTTGACTGTGTTTTTTTTAATGTTATGCACCTTGTATATGAGAAGCTGTAAGTTCTGCCCACCCAGCCTACCCACAACAATCAGGTTTCCACAGGCCTTCAAATCTGCTGTCAGAGACTGGATATGGGAATATTCTGTAGACTTAAAGCATCCATCTTTATATGTTAACCTGAGACACTCCTGAGAGTCCATATTCATACAATCACGTGCCCTAAAATATTTGAAGGACCTAGCTCAAGGAGTTTTTTTTGATATTAAAATTTTAAAATGCCCCCAAAACAGCTTTAAAACGTGTGTAAAAACACCAATAACAATTTTTTAATCAACAACTCCAAAAATGTATTTAATTCTTGTTTTTATATTTCATGTATTAAATCAGAGTTGAAGGTTTAAAATGTCTGCATGAATGCAGAAATAACCCATAAAAGTAGCTTTCTCTAAGTGACAGTCTGACATTCACTGCTACCTCACACAGCTTCTGGTGTGCGGGGGAGAGAAAGTAAGCATGTTCTTGCTCTTTTCTTAATGCAGCATTGTGACTTTTGTACCCTTTTGACGTGTACAGCTGAGTACAACATTATAAAAGAAAAAAAAAAACGAAGGTGTGTATTATTATGCTTGTTCCTTTCAAATCCTAACGAGACGAGATTCACTGAAAATCAGTCTTGGCTGATTCTTACCTTTCCATGTTTCCTCGTGTGTCCTTATGAACCAATCAACTAAAAAAAAGCTTCTTAACTTTAGAAGTGCTGGTTTGTTTGACATTAAGCAATCTGAGTGCATTTATATTTCTAATGAAATATAAAGATAAAAAGAGACAATGTGTCAATATATGGTACTTGATGCATTTCTCAAATTGAGGAAACAATCATAGAATACCTCGTCTGTCAGCATTCCCCTTTATTTAAATTCCATTTTCCTTTCCGGCCCCCCGATATTTGTTTTAGCCTGTCTGCAGTTTTCTTGTCTCTCTTTTGCTGTTTTTATCTCTCTCATTCTCTTTCTTGCTCAGTCACTGAATCTCTGGTAAGTGTTTTCATTTGAGATGGTAATGTTGTTTCTCATCCAAGAACATGATCACCTAATTACTGAAACAGTCACAGCGCCTCTTGTCCACTTCACCATCACTCATTTTCTTCTTGCTTCATCTACTGTTCTTCTTCCCCATCTCATTTATTCTCTTGTTTTTATCCTCTTTACATGCCACTGCAAAAAATATTTCTTTTCAAAAGACAAAGGCAGTAGAATTAAAATGAAGCAAAGCGGACAGGCTTCTATTTCCAAGGTTGTGTATATTCCTAATGAAAGGGAATCTGTAAAGTTGCGTCTGTGTGCGTGTGTGTATGAATGATTAACATTTGGCCAAAGGACAACAAGCTGACTGGTTAGCTATGTCTGGTAAATTACAGATTTTATAGCACACCATCTGAAGTGCTTACAGTCAGTGAGCACAAATATAACCCATACATTAAATTAAACAGTGGCTCAATAAGCAGCATTTGCTTAATACAAAAGCCCACAAACTTGTGAGTGTTGACACTTATACTGTAAGCGAATTTATTAGGCCCTGCGAAACGTGTCCCACCAAAGTCTTTGAACGCACATTCAGGCACACAATTGCTGGGCAAACAACATACACTTAATCACTGAAAGATGCCCACACAGTGTTCCTCCACCTCTCACCTCAACCACCTACAGTGGGCAGTTTACAACAGGTGATTAAGTGAAGTGATGTAATCAAATAAAAAAATAAAAACGTTTTTTCTTTTTTTTTTGTTTGTTTTTGTTTTTACAGAAATGGTCAGTGCTGTGAAAATGTGTGTTTTATCAACTTATTAAACTTTGTACTTTCAATTCCATCTGGATTTTAAATTTCGATGGAATTTTGGATGTAAATAAAGTCCAGAGGTTTTTTGTCACTTTTCATTTGTCATTTCTGTACTGACTTGTACGCTTATCTCTGATTTATCTGCAGGGCTGGACAAAGTTCTATGAGTTTTCCTTGTCAGACCTTCGTGCTGGCTTTGAGATTATCGACAGGCTTTTTGAAGGTAGGACGCTGATGAAATGTGTAAATTCAGCAGAAAGCTCTGCATTTTTGTCTGCACATGGTAATCTCTTGTTTCTTTGATTGCCTTTTATGACAGTGTTTCTTTGACGACCAATTATGAAAGAGCATACCCTGGGCAATTCAGCATTCGCATCTCTGTGTTACTTACCTTCTGTGTGGACCCCGCTTTTTATTTGTGTATTTATATGTCTTGATATCTCTAAGGTGGTAAACAATTTCAGTGGGAGTTTGTCCACGGTCTGTTGGAGAATGCTATCTATGGGGGACGTATTGACAACCCGTCTGACCTCCGCATCTTGCGCTCCTACCTTGAGCAGTTCTTTTCCGCACGTCTCCTTTCATCCTCCCTCTCTGCTGGACAGAGAAAAAGTAGAGGAGGATTCTTTCCACCTCAGATCAGCCTCCCAAACTCTTGTGCCATATTGGTAGGTTTTTGGGAACACTCACCATGTAACACCTAGTTGTACATATACTTATTAATAAGAAATATATGTGCATTAGAAATATATGTATCTTTAAGCTCAAGGTGAAAGTCTATATAGTTTGTTTACATCTTCATGAGCCCACGTCCAGTGACAAAGAAGCAAAAACGGTTGATTAGATTCACTAGCTGGGGATTGTGTTTAACTTCTGTCTGGTGTTAGCTTCATTTTCACTTGGTTTATAAAGGAGCCACTACAAATAAATGTCAGCAATAACTCTCAAGTAAGTGGTTATGTGGTTCTGTTTTTCTGCTGCTCTGCTTTCTGTTTATATTTTCTTTTCCAGATGTTAGTTCATTCCTCAGAATCACTGAGAGGTCATTTGTTTAAAAAAACAATCAATGTAGAAATCTATCATTTGAATTGACAGTCTTTTGCTAGAATTCAGCATTTAGCAGTGAGTGATGAGGGAGATCAGTTTAGTAATTTAGGCTTTTAAAGCCCTATTCAAGGCAAATATTTGTTGTTAAAAAACCTGCATCAAACTGTTACAAACAACACACCCCAGTAAGCTCAGTATTGCATTATTAATCCTATACACCCACACAGAAATCTAACAAGCATGCCACAAGATTTTACTTTTCAATTTAATAACGTGTTGCTTAGAAATGGAAAAATGTCTTTTGTCTTAAAGCCATGATATAAATTGGCAGAATGCTTTAATTTTCTCTCTTTATATGGGTGTGTGTCAATGTGTGACCTGTATGGGTCTGCGTGTCTTCCCAGGACTACCGCAGAGTAATAGAGAATCTCCCAGAGGATGACAGGCCAGCATTCTTTGGTCTGCCTGCCAACATAGCGAGATCCTCCCAGAGAATCGTCAGCTCCCAGGTGCACCCACACACAGCAGTCTGCCTATTCACACAAGCACATGTGCTCACATTGCCTGCAGCTCACAGCAGTCTTGCATGTATACAGATGAAAAATGAAAAGAAAATCAACTCAAATTGTCTTAGCGAGGTGTTGGGTCAACATGTGTCACTAGAGCAGCTTCAGTGCGCCTTGGCACTGATCCCATAAGTCAGTGGAACTCCACTGGAGGGATGGAGCAGCAATTCTGGCAGTGCTGGCGTAGACTCCACATGATAAGCCATGTTATCTCAGCGTGATTTGACAGTGTTCCAAAGAGCTCCTTGTGATGTCAGGAATACTTGGCTTTTTCCACTTTTTCAAGTGCCGCCACAGATGTACAGTTGAGGTCAGGTGACTGTCAAAAAGTCACAATCATTGAAGTCAGTCCTCCTCTTTGATCTTCAAGCAGAAGGTGCAAAGCTTTGAGGTTAGGGTCTTTATTCTGCTGCAGTATATATCCTTCTCCACAGAGAAGCTAAGCAGAAGGTGTAACACAGTTTGGAAAAATAGAGTCCAGGGCAGTCTGGTTAAAGATACCCCTTCTCTTACTGCTAACTGTTGGGCGTTTGTTTCATGTCTGTTTTCCAATCATCCAATGACAAATACCGCCTTTGCCCACTGGCTAGGGCTTTTAGTTGATTTAAATATTTTATCACCATGAATCATATGATTGCCCGTTCGCCCTGGTGAATTATAGCAGATGTTTTAATCTATTCTACATGTATTTTAACAGAATTTTACCAGTATTCGGGTGGACAAATATGCTCGCTTTATTCACATGTATGTTTATTATTATTGCAACATTCCAAAACAATGACAACGAATGAGAATATTCTCCAGAAAAGACTCAAAAGTACTGCATGCTCATAAAAAATGCCTAAAAATGCATAAAAAATACACTTAAGCACATACAGTACTCGCACGTAATGTAACTACCTGCAAGCTGTAAGTACTCATTTAGCTATGGTTGTGGAAAGTTTGTTGCATGTAGAAATACGCAGATGTCTCAGTTGAAACATATCCAGCATAGTCTGCTTTTGGCCCAGGAGACGAGGGATCTGGGTATTTGAGACTCAATGTTGTACGGCGGTAACTTTCACATTGACAGTAAATACAAAAACATTTGTTCTCGCCAAGGGAACAAGTCATTGACAATTAAAAATGTTTAATATTTGATTAATAGTTAGTTTGTAAACACTATCAGGATGTCATTATAAGTTGCAGCTGACATTTATAAAACTGTTTATACATTCATTACACAGTATTTATTAAACATTAAAATAAATGAACCCTGGATATTATAAAGTTGAAACTTGTATTTATGATACTTTATAATTCAGTTTAAAGAATGTATGAGTTTGTTGGTGGTATGGCAGTGATAAAATCAACTGTGAACCATCTGTTTAGTTTTGATACCATATTAATATGACTTATAATTAATAAAATATTTTTCTTACATAAACTAATTGCATAAATAATAACATTGATAATATTTGTTTCCTAATTTTGTAAATCATAATTTCATTGTTACATTAACAGTACAATAAGTTTTACTAACAATTTAACATGCATTAAATTTAATCATTATAAAGTGTTATCGATTTATTTGAAATAATCTAATTGCTACATTTGCCAAAATACTTAAAGATATAAGTGTAACATAAAAACAAATGAGTCGAGAAACCATTAATGACATGAAAAATTATTATTTTAAAACTGCACTATTTTTAAGACAGTTATAAGACATATGCAATATCACGTCTCATGCAAATTAAAACCAAAACCTTAAAATCTCAAAATAACATTTTTCACAATATGATGATTTTTCATGTAGTTATCATTTTAAGGCACATTTGATAACATCAGAAAGTTGACGTTTATCATCCGAACAAGTGTATGGCAATATTTCATATATTTTGCATCAGATAAGATTGATGTGTATCTGTGTTAGCTGTTGCGTTGAGCTATATAAGCAAACTCTGCAAAAGCTGCACTCTTTTGTTCATTTACAACAATAAACCGAAGCAACTTGAGGGTTTCTAATAACATTTCAGCCATAAATACATTTACCACTACTTCACAGATATTGAGTCTGACAGTTTGTATAGATGATTGTAGCTGATTAAAATGGATGTTGGTGTTTTTCAGCCTATGGAGCTTTGAGCAAAATCTGCATAGTAAGTTGAATCTGCCAAGTACTTTCTTCCTTTATAGAGGATGGAAAACCCTGGTGTGTATGTGTGAATGTGTTTAATGGTTTATGGTCACTGCAGATTCTGATGTAATACAGTGCAACACAGTCTCACATAAACACACAATATGTTTTATTTCAGTGTTATCATTTTGCGTGTGTGTGTGTGTGTGTGTGTGGTGTTAGTGTGAGTTTGAGGGAGATGAAAATCTTAAAAGACAGAAGCAGGATATAGATTGAAGGTTGCATGGCTGCATTGTAATATATGAATCTGTGTGTAGTGTTTGGATAGGACCTGTCTTTGGTGTTTACTTTACACATTCAGGTAATTATTTTTTCAGGCTGACACTTATTGATTTTTATTCTTTTACAGATTTTTTGTGAAGCAGAAAAGTATGTTTTGATTTGATTCTGCTACTTGTGATATTGTGCAAATGTCGAAATGGTAGAAAGGTTGACCTATAATACATGTGAAGGAAGCTGCATAAGAGCCAGTTGTCTTTGAGGAACTGGCCTGGACTTTGGCCAGATGCTACAAAATCTATAAGAGGAAGCAAAATCCAAGATCTTTTTAACCCTAAAGGAAAGATGAAATAGTATAAATGTGCCACACACAACACAATTAAACCTTGCTTTTTGCATGCACTAGAGAAAGAGTTTTTGTTTTGTTTTTTTACAATAGCATGTTTGTTATCATTGTCGTTTGTGCAGAAAATAACATGTATATGTGTTTCCATTGTTTTCCATTCAAGCCTGGTATCATTGTTGAGAATTCATTTTTGAAAATAAAGATGCTTTAGTGTAAATTGGATGAGTAACCAAAACATGAGCACATATAAGGGTTCATTTATTTTAAAGAACCAAATCATTGTTTTCGTAAGAAACATGCTGATAGAACCAAAGCAAGAATGAAATGAAAATGGAATACGTGACATTGCGATGACATTACAATGAGCTCATTTTGCTGCGTTTTTCTGTTTGTACAAGGTATGATCTTTTTAAAGTCTTGCTGATCTCACATTCAAGATCATCTTCTGGGATATATCCAGAGAGCTTTCAGCTATTTTTAGATTGCTCCTGCCACTTCCTGTTTTATGCCCTCTGTGATTTTACCACTGGCCTCAAACTTAGAGCTAGCATCATCTTCTTGTTAAAACGGACTCAAATTTCATGTGAAGGATTGTCACTGACTGTGACCAAGCGGTTTTCTGTTGAAGATTTTGCAGTTTCCAAGCTCAAAGGCAGCATTCAGTTGACCCCCAGGATGAGACTGTCAGTGTAAAGATCTACTGTATCATCCTGAGGAGTCTGAAGGAGAACATTCAGATGATCTTATCTTGTGCCCCTTACAGTCCACTGAAAATACTGAAGATTTTAGGTCAGTGTCTGAGATGATGACCTTCAATGTGAGATTGGCCACATTTACATCGGGTAGAGTCTCAGTCACACAGGTCTGGAGATCGTCAGCATTGCATTAGGGACAAATGTCTATTCCCTGACCAGTTGGCGACTGGTTGCTGGCTGTCACTAGGAGAGATTTGCTGCAAGATCTCTACTGATACAGATACTGATTTCTCAGAAGATTTTTACACTTTGCATATCTTGTGATTTTAAGTGATTCCACACTGTCGAAGTTTACAAGCAAAAGATCCATTCATTCCAGGAGATGACCCAAATCCTTCTGGACTTGGATGAGTAAGGACATCCAGCATTTAAAAGAAAAAAAACAACAACTGTCAAATCAAACATGTGGAACTTCCCACTGTGGCGAAATCTTGTGAATAAGTGAACAGCTGAAAGTAGCTGCTGCTTCTTTTTTTTTGTGTCTTCTGATTGTAATTATCCTCAGTTCAACCACACGCAACCTTTACAGATTGTAAGGACAATCCCCATGTGGGTTTTAATACAATTAAATTCACTCATAGTGTGGTCTGCTGATCACTGGAACCACCAACCTAGTTTAATTCATACGACTCCCACAAGACCACTTATGTGAGTCTGTTACTGTGTCTCTTTCTCTACCTATCTCCCCCATATGTCATTGTCTCCCATCCTGGTGTCATTTGTCACTGTCACTTTCATCTTCTCTCTTTTTCTCTCCCTTTTCCCCAAAATGTGTCCCTTCTTTACTCTCACTGTATTTGAGTTCTGCTGTTAACTACATACACTGAAGAGGTCCTGGGGAAAAGTCTGCAGATTTTGTGGAAACCATTAAATATAAATGTCTAATCTTACCAATTACCTGACACAGGTTTGAAATGTCTTTACAAAAGGCTTGAGGTATGATTTCCTGCATTCATAGTTTTTATGCACAATGTCAAAGATAAGCACTTTGGATAAAACTAGCATGTGAAAATGTATCATTGTGCCATTACAACTACAATAACAGAAAAAAAAGACATTAAATGCAGAGAGATTTTTTTCTCCAAATCTTGCATATACACATAGAAGCTCTCTCATATACTGCTTCTGTTCATTTCTGATTATATATTTAGATATAATGACATCTGTGCCTTCTGTGGCATTTGTGATTTTCACTCTGTTATGCTCAATTTATCAATCAGCTTGACTTATTAACAACCCTAAACTAGAATACTGTTATACTGAAATAATGTGAAAAACTGAGTAAATTGACTGCATACAATAAAGTTGTATAATGTCCAGTAACTTTTTATCCCCAGACAATTATGGCAGAAATTTCAGCTCATTAAAATCTTGGTTATCTTAATATATTTAAATTACTATTTGAATCACCTTATATTTGATATCAACCTCCTTCATATTGCTGTCAATTCAATTTTAGATTAGGATTTTTTTAATCCTACCTTCATCTCCCTCTTTGATGTACTCGAACAGACATGGGTGCAAATGCCGTTTCCCTCCTGAGCAGAGAAGATAAAACAAATGTTAGTAAAGAGTTCTCCTGGACCAAATGAAAGTCATTTATCAGACAAGCTGCTTTACTTGTAACGCAGACATAAGTGACTATCACAAAACACACACACACACACACACACACTGAGTCTAGATAAAAGTACTGTCCAAGATTCTAATCCTGAAGCTAAGCTTGGCTGATTAGGTATGTAAGGAGGCGTGTTTATGGTTCTCTTTTCTTCTTCTTTTTTTTTCAACATTACAGGGCCTGAAACAGTGTTTTGGGATTTACATATGGGAGTCAAAATTCATGTGCCTACTTCAAATTATATGAGTGGTGTTTTAAAAAAATAGGCCGTTTATTCTTACAGGCGCACATGCAGCATACCACTGACTATTTGTGTTTTAATTGTTTACAGGTAATTTCTCAACTGCGCATCCTGAGTCGCTCAGTCGCAACAGGTTCAAAGTTTGACAGGGAGCTCTGGTCAAATGGACTGTCACCTATCCTGAACTTATGGAAGAAACTCAACCAGGTTAGCTGTCTTTACCATTTCATATTGACTTTTTATTGACCCATTACTTTTTGTTGCCCTTTTCCTGCAAACCAAATTGGAAAGCTGCATCTGTAGCTTTAAAGGACTTGATTTGCCTTGATTTTAGGTAACTTTAAAAAGTCAAAGCCTCATCATTCAAACCGTGAAAAGCATTTCCATACTAATACTGCAGCATTTTTACTGTCACTGCACATCAACAACAACTAGTTGTACAACCCATTGTCAGAAATGGGTGGAGGTCCAAAGTGCATGACTCTGAGGCAAATTAAATAAAAAAGGAAAACTTCTGAATGATCAAAAATTGGAGAAACACACAGTCCAGTTGGCAACAAAAAAGAACAATACGTAGATATACAGGAAGCAAATGGAGAAGGGGAGAGGCAAGGCTATATGCACAGACAGGGCAGACTGTTCACATTTGAATACAATCAAACACAGGTCAACATGAGGGTCACAGCAGAGGGAAAGACCCAAAAGCAGGAAGTAAAGCCACGGTGAGACAACTAACCTTCCAAGTAAAACAGCATTACCACAAAGACGATTAAAATAACTGAAGCATGAAGACTAACATTAAACATGAAGACAGAGGACAGGGAATACAGAAGGCAGGGGGGTAATGGAAAAACTAGGAACACAAAGGGACTTAACAAAACCAACAGACAACAAGGTTCGTGACACCTAATTAAAAGTTGTGGGAAGTAATCGGATATCACTAGTGCAGTCAAAGGCTGTCACACACAGTGTGTTAGCCCCTGGCTTGCTTGGCCAAGAAGTACTGCTGTGTGCAGTTGCTTGGAGACTGGCACGTTTTCAAATTAAAAGGACATCTGCCTCCACCTTTAACAATTTAGTCACCATGTATCAATCTCGTCTCTCTGCCTCTCATGCTGTCAAGTACACATGCTTACTGTCTCCTTCTCTCTCATTTACACTTATGTCTCCTCTCTTTCTGTCTCTCTTCTTGCTCTTTCAGTCTCTTGTAGATGGAGTTGTTTTGTACTTACTGAAAGGAAAATGGTTAACTGTGTTAATTGTTGCCATTGTGTCACCAGCAAGCTTTCCATAGATCACAATCAACCTCTGGCTGCTTTCAATTAACTATCCCTTTGTCATCAGCCAACCTTGTTGTTTGACCCTCAGTGGATCTGAACTTCCCAGTGTGCCATTTAAATGCACGTACTTGCACGTGTGCCTTGGTTGTGTGTGCAAATGTTTATGGTTTGTGGAAAATGTGTGAGAGGTGTGTGTGTGTGGAAATGTACAGACACATTTATTTTTGGCAAATCATTATGTAGTCTGGAAAGACATGGGCAGAGCATGATACAGCAGAGACTGTTTATTTGGCTTTTTAGTTACATTTTTAAATGGAAACAATAGCTGAGCTCTAGTCAATCTGAATCCCATCCAACAAGCTTTTTTCTTCATTGTCTGTCTTCATCCCTTGGTTCTGCTATCCTTCTCTTCCTCTCTTTTTTTGCCTCTTTCTCTAACTGAGTTGTTGAAAGGAAAGCAAAATAGAATCCAGGTATAGAGTGTGATGGTTCTAATAGATTACAACAAAATCCAAGCATTTCTATTTTTTAGTTGTATATTTTTTGTAACTTATTTGTATACTGTATGGTATACTTTGTATACAGAACACAAAGTGTTTATCTAATGTAAACAAGTGCTCAACCTCCACCCCTGTTGAAAATCTGTTTAGTAATATGATGTTACTGTAGGAATTTAGCATATCCATATATACATAGATCCATATGGAAATCCATAGATAATATTTACCATTGTACTGTATAAGGAGGGAAAAAATATAGCATGCTAATGTAGCAGGAGTTCCTAAAGTGAACATACATCTTACTCTGAGTATTATGTAGACAATACATGTTGCAAATGAAATGAGAAGTCAACATTACGTGCCATACACTGAACTTGAACACATTAAAA